AGTGCCCCCAGGTCCTCATCCTGGTCATGCTTGCATGGGATGTTGAATTGTGCTACAGTCGCGACAGAGATTCACGACTGATATCTTTTAGCAATCACAGGCAAATAGTAGTTTGGACGATGGATTTTCATTATGGATATATAATAAATAGATTAAAGATCTACCACATACGACCACAGGGTGTGGAAAACAGGGCTTCCCGTCCGCTCAGCCGTACTTAAGCCACACGCCGGGAGGTTAGTAGTTGGGTGGGTGACCACCAGCGAATCCCTTCTGTTGTATGTTTTTGTTTATGTCTTTCTTTGTGTCTGACTGTATGAGAGTCTGTCTCACGGGAAACAGCTCCCTTGCTGCAACAGATATGCAAAAACTTAAGACACTCACGTAGTGTGCAGGCACCTTCTGTCGCTGCCTAAGCCAGGTTAAGCCAGGTTCGACTCAAATGAGATTCCAATATGACAAGTGTGTATAGTATCTCGCCTAGGTTCCTTTGCAAAAACACCCACTGCGCACTCGAATCGACAGTTGCAGGGCTTCTTACCACTAACCGCTTCCGCCCAGTATGGAAGTGCCACCGATCCTCCGGCTTCCAGCAGAGATCCTGACCTGTATTCTTGAGAGAGTCGTCTCCAATTACGGCAGAGGATACTCGGCACGGTGGAGGCTCGCGCTAGTCTGTCGTCGCCTGACGCAAATCGTACTTCCTGTGCTATATCGTGAGGTCTTCGTCAGCTTGACCGCTCACCCACCACTCGAGGCTCTCTTAGCCATCTTACAGAAAAGGCCAGTATATTGTGCAAATGTGAAGCGTCTTATTGTTCAGATCGATGATTACGTGTCAATCCACAGGCGCAGCTTCTATATTATGGGCGATATCATCACCTGTATCCCCAAACTCCGCACCTTGGCCTTCCAAGGGGGTTGGAAGCATTACACAGACCAAACATGGGGCCTGGTTCACAGGGCCTCAGAGCATGCCAGCACTCGAGAATTTGACTTTATGGTGTAACTCGGCCGAAGGCCTTACCGTGCGCGACATATTTGAAAATGTTCAGATGCCCAGTCTCCGCCAACTGGAGCTGGATGGTATTACTCTTCCGATTGGGGAGCGCACCGCGAGCGCAGTACGAAAGGTGAATCAAGCCTGCTCACCGACAATCACGAAGGGCACTGCTCAGTTCTCCACCCTCAACATCCATCACTGCAAAGAAAACCCCGCGGCCATCGAAGAGCTAATTCTCTGGCCCAAAGCATTGACCCATTTCAATGCCTCGGTTCTGAGTGGGAGTGGCCCGGCGTGCGATGTGAATCTCTCCAAACTCAACGCATGGCTCTTGGCCCACAAGGACACCCTGCAAACCATCCAGATCCGATGTATCTATAAGCAGAGACAAGGCCAGCTCTTCCATACCAGAGGCTTTGTGGCCTTGGAGCGCCTGACGCTCCCCTGGTGGGAGATACGAGGGAACTTTCCGTGGCGGGAGGACGATGACTCGCCATTCGTCTTCACGCCCGCGCATGCTGACGCCATTCTCTGCGCGCCCCGTCTCGAGACACTCGAACTAGACTTTGGACAGGGTGGGCATGGTCCAGATTACTTTGGTAGGCTCGGGGAGATCGAGGATCGCTGGATTCGGGATTTGGCCTGCGCGGCACTGGCCAGACAGGCTGCGCTCCGGACGATCTGCGTCGGGTTTAAGCCGAGACCGTATGACCTTGCCGTGATTATAGAGTATCCGTGGGATCGTCTGAACCGACTCCGGGAAGATCTCCAACCGTTGGGGATCATGCTGGAGTACACTGAGCCGACGTTCTCGGAGGAAGAGTGGGTACAGGCGCGCATGCGGGCCTTCCCGCCGTGGGATGCGATGCGTGGGAGCGAGAGTCCCCCGCTGGATGACGGCATGTTCGGCGGAGTGATATCAAAGGATGTTGAGCCTACTCTGGAGGAACAGGAAGCGTGGGAGTATGTTCATAAGTCAATATAAAGAAGGGACCACCATTGAAAGGGCCCTTGTAGCAATAGATCTTGCTTTGCAAGGAGATATACAGCAATAATTCAGACAGAGCGATCGCCAATGCTAAGACTTTCTGATCTCGGCCTCGGGTGAACGGACAGAGGTAATAGCAGCAGTACAATGCTGACAGAGCGCCCAGTGGAGGGCGCTGGGTGATCATTATCACAGTTAGCATTCCTTCTGTTGTATGTCTTTGCCATCCACCCACGGTCGGCAAGACGCCACAAACAACTGCTTCATCTCATCGGCACTTTTGTTGATCATCCCCGTGCAGAAATGGCTTTTCCTTGGAGGGAGGCAGGGCAGCACGCTTCAACGCTCTCACGACGTCGGCCGCTCAGTCCTGGCAGTTGCCGACCCCAAAGTCGGGAATGTGGGAGGCGTCTTACACTACGATGTCCATGTGGGACGGTCCGTCGCCCAGGCTGGCATTCCCACGACCGTGGATTTTGATAGAGAGGGCATGAACTCAGACAGATGGATGGGTTAGGAATATCAATGTGTAGGCTCCAACTTAAGAGGCTGATTCATGTTGATCAAAATAAGCGCCCTGGTAGTCACGTGGACTGAGGCATCCCCTCCGACGAGCCTCATACGAGCTTCGCAATTGTTCGTTGTATCACGTTGAAAAAAACACCTTAATGCTGCCGGTTCAACTTCCATCACAAACATACCAGCCTCCCCTCATGTCGTCCGCAGCGGACGCAGACAAAGTCACTCAGCTTCTCAGTCTTCTACCTTCCCTGATATCGATGGCTAGAAGCAGTCTCATCTGGGGAGTAGACCTCGAGCGACAAGACAAGGGAACTGAAGCTGTTATTCAAAAGGTCATTTATCAACCTTGTGGTCTCCCGACTAGCATACTCGGATTATTAACAGCCTATAGTTCCTGAAAGCTCACTCCACTCTCCCGTCGCTGCAAACCTCCAGGACAGCCCTCTCGCTCACCAAGGCCCTGGAGTGGCAGCGCCTCACCAGGCCTGACTCATGCATGAAGCAGGCCTTGACAATAGTAGCTGAAGCAGCTGTCGCCCGCATTACGCGCCTAGAAGACAGAAATGTACTATGGGTCATGGTCGACGAGAGAATTATCAGAAGTTTCTCATCTTCCTATGAGGATTTCATGAGTCACAAAGGCTTGACGCACCTGGGCTTAGCAGTGATGGAGACCCTGGCTAGACAAATCATTGCCGACGTTTGCGCAGGAAACACGGAGTCCGACCAGGGCGCCATTTGCATTGTCGAGTTCAAGCTTGCTCCAGCGCCTGCTGTCCGGTTACAGACCAGGTCCTTTCGCGACCACGTCATTCTGAGACTATCGGGGCTGCTTTCATCACTTGTTCGACATTATCCTTCTCTGATTGAAGAATTCTATGTCATCAATCCCTCCGAAGAATATTTGCTCGGCCTTGATGTACCCGACAGATTTTTGGCGCACACGACCCTGCTCCCCAGTCGCGAGGATCTCGCACATTATCTGGGAGAAGCTGTCCCACTGGACTATGGCGGGAAAAGTCCACCGCTTGTTGAACATGACTGCTTGATCAGATCCGAATCAGCGGCTCAACAAAAAGAGAAATACGGTCTATCAAAGCTGCAAGAAGTCGAGCCAGATCCTGATACCAGCGTTGCGATCAATGAAGCTGGACAAGACGAGGTGGCCAACACGGAGTCGTCCCCACCAAGCCAGCCAGGACTGAGGCTTATCTTCTCGGAAGAAATAGGACCGCCCACCATTATTTTGGATCCTGAGGATTTGAAAACAGCATCCGAGCTTTGTCCGGGCAAAATGGGCGCTCGAATTGTCTGGGCCGAAAGTGATATGCTGGTCAAGTATGGTCCTGGGGTTCGCCTAGCTGAAGCTGAAGCAATGCACCTGGTATCGCATAACACCTCGATAGCAATACCCAAACTCTTGAGCGCATACATTCTCGATGGTGTCGCATATATTGTCATGTCTTACGAAAAAGGCGAGCCTTTCCAGGACTACTGGGACTGTGCCTCAGACTTGCAGCAACAGCATGTCCTACACCAGTTGCAAGACTATGTCACGCAGATGAGAAGCATCACGGGAGAGTTCATTGGTGGCATCGACTCATCCTGTTGTAGAGACGGGATCTTTGAAGGGGGCTGGGGTGATTACCAGTTGTATCAGTATGGACCTTATGCATCCGAAGCCGAGTTCAATGAGGGCATAGTTCAGGCATTGCGGGATCGCTTGCCACCGCAGTCGCGCGGAAAGGAAGAGAGCTTCGACTCGGACTTTTTTAATGCAGAATACATCCTCTATCAGACAGTGCGGGAGTTGCGTGGCCATGCCATAGTCTTTTCGCACGGGGATCTACATACTGGCAACATGCTCATTCGCTCTGATGGAACAGTGGTGGTGCTTGACTGGGGGCTTGCCGGCTACTGGCCAGAATACTGGGAGTTCTATCGAGCAATGTTCAATCCCCCATGGCGATCAGCCTGGGATAGAATGGTTGAAAAATTCATTCCGCCATACTATGTAGAGTATAGCATCATGAAGAAGGTATTCGGTACGGTGTGGAACTGAGACGCATATTTAGAATGGGAGATGACTTCTTGGTATGCTCAACTAGGCATTTAGCGTGTAAAGTCTTTCTTAAGCTTTTGAACTTCTAGTCCTATTGTTTCGCAAACAGAAGTCAGTTATATCAGGTTTCTTTGCCCCAATACAAAGCAGAAGGCCTTGTCCAAGATTTCTAGACCTTCTTTGATCTCCTGGGCAGTGACTGTGACCGGTGGGGCCAGGCGGGACACTCCCCCCATACCAGGCAGATTGACAACGTTGCAGGACGAGCCGGTATACTGGTCCAGAACACCCCCGTTGCCCGAAGCATTCCGGCCCTGGCCTCAGTCAACTCGGGATTGGCCATGAAGCCGAACAGTCTGTTGCGATAGTTGTACGACACAAAGATAATTCTTGATGTAGCGTATTCCAGTGCGACTGCGGTCTTCTAAAAGAAGGGGGCATCATCTCCGATGATTTTGGCCTAGGAGAGATGGACATTCGCACCGCAGTTTTAGGATGTGTTTACGCAGGCTTCAGTGGAGCATGCCATGTAGCTAGAGCCATGAGTACAGAGTTCAAGTGAGGTACCAGGCCCACTGGCATACTTGAATGATCAAGTTCGAGTAGTTAGTTGCTTTTGCCCACGAACAACAAACACTTTCTTGGAAACCCGAATAGACTGAAACATAGCAAGCCCGAGAGCAAAGCTGTCGTCTGAGGGTTAATGCTCAAAAAGCCAAATCTCCTCGCTATTGGAAGCTGGATCGCTAATCTCACATGGTCCTGCCTGTGAACCGTCCATCACCCTAGTTGAGAAATATTTGAAAGATACCGCCTCTACATCGGTACTTATCAGCAGAGTCTGAGATACGACTCACAAGGCACTAGGTACAGAACACAACATATGAATATGTCCCTCAAAATTCCAGCTGATTAACCGTCACCGTGTCTGCGCCATCCGCATAGCCCACTCAACAGCCTTCAGCACCGCCTGCACGTCATTCATCCGATGAGGCACCTTATGCACGCCCTCAAACTCCACAACGCGAGTCAATCCCTTACTGCAAAGCCTCGCCTGCAACTCACTATGCGGCCGCAGCGGGTCTGACCGGCCGATGATGTGGACAGTCGGAATGGATATCCGCTGCATGTTGACCAAGGGGTGATACACGCGCGGGAAGCCCTCCACCCCGCCGCGGGTATTCCATTGCGTTTTCGCTGCATGATCGTGTTCTGCGCTGTTGTCCACCAGTTGGCGGACGAGTGCGAGTATCTCCTTTACTAGCGCTGCCTTTTGGCCTGGGAGTAGTAGAATCGCGCGGTGGTTCTTGAGACGCGATAGCTTGTGCGTCGCGGCAGCTCTATTATCGTCCTGGAGGAAAACTCCTCGCCCGAGCTCCTCCATTGTTGCCTTATCTTTCTCCCTCTCTTCATCATGCTTTACCTGTTTATAGTACCGGGAGTACTTGGCAACAATGTCCGCGTTAAACATCGGATCCGGCGAAATGGAGAGCACGGCGCAGAAGAAGATCGCAAAGCGAAACGGCGGCGGACGGTCGGGATGACATATCTCATGGTGGTAGAGGATTGAGAGGGCGAGCGACGCTCCCTGACTAAAGCCAATGACTCCGTCAAAGGGGCCATCGTCTTCAATGACGTCCTTGACGAGATCATGTGCGTCTCTCACCCGCGACGAGGATAGCCCATCGTACCAATTATAGAAAGGGCCCGGCAAGTTAGGAGGGATTTCTATGGTGAAGAATGATAGAGGCAAGGCAGTAAGCATCTCGTACGTAACTCATGTAGGTAGGGTTAACGAGCGATTGTACCCCCGGGGCCCGAGGACAGCCGGACTGGAGCCTGGTAACTGACTACGACGTACCTTGTGCGGGCCCACAGGATACGGGACCATCATGAAAGACATAGTCGTGTAATAAAGGGCCCAAAACACCAAATCCATCACCCACGCAAACGTCCTCCAGCCCGCGCGCAGCTGGAGATTTTCCGCAAAGAACGGCCCAGCCAGACTCGCCGCCGCAAAGGCCATATTCGACTGCCCGAATGCAAACGCGACGGCTCCGCCGCGGTGGTTGTTGGCGTTGAACCGGCCGCCGGGTAGCGCGGGTTCCTTGGCCTTTACTGCGAGGTAGACCTCGAGCATTAGCGGCGTGTTTGCGATGGCGAGGCAGAGGCCGAGTAGGGTTAGTAGGCCGCATAGCAGTATCTTGTCGTGTAGTGAGTTTATGTTGATGAGGCGGAAGAGGACGGCGGCTGTGGTCGCGGAGAGGATTGCGGCTGATATGAGGGATCGGTCGACGAGGGAGCCGATGTGGGGGACTACGAGAGCGATAAATAGCAGTCCTTGGCCAGTCCCGTCTGCCTCCATCTGAACGTTTCCTCCACGAATAGCGGCCACACGCGGTCAAATAAGGTGAGGACCAAGGAGACGACAAAATTTCACCAGGACGAGACGAGGAGGCGGGGCGAGCAGAGCAGAGTCGCCAGTTCCTTTAGCGTCTGCTTGGTATTGTCCACTGGCTGCAGTGCTTGGGGACTTTTGGTAGGTCTGCCCGCTTCACATAAAACTAAACAATGTGTTGTGTCTTCTCGCTGTCGCTCTGGTGATGTCGCTGCAAGCCACCGTGCAGCGTCTTTCTTCTCAACAACTGCCAACCTGTGCACAAAATCAATCCCAATCAACCCCCAATGCATAGTAAGGCTGTTGCCACACCCAGTACCATAAGACCGAGCAGAAGCAACCATGAAGATGATTAACGACTTTGCTGACCGAATCTTCAGAAACCTTGGTGGTGTGGAATAGTCCCTGTCAGTGCCGGTCGTCAGGTGGGCTGGCTGCCCCATTGCGCCGAGGCCGGAGAATCGGAGTCAGATCGTACGTAAACGATAAAATACATAGACTGGGAGGTCCCCATGCTGTTCAAGTAGGCGCTCGACACGATCATGCTCTTTCTGCGTCGGAGAAGGTCTAGACAGAGTGGAAGCCAATGCAGACTGAATATAATTTTCAAAATCTCTAAACTAATAGAAGATAGTATTATATAATCTAAATAATATATTTTTTACTATATCAGAAGTAGATTCATAATTCCTGAATTAATTATACTAAATCCTGACCCAGTAGGAACTGGTTCCCTAGTCTCTACTTGTGGTTACAAGATCGATAGGACAATCAAAACCAGCGAAGAGAGTCGAGATAAAGAACACTCCACAAACATAGTGAAAGAATACTACAAAAATAAAGCGCATCCAAGTAGAGAAAGAACAAAGATCTTTATGCCCCATCACAATAGTCTACAAGACGAACAAAGATGCTCTCGATAAAGGCTAACTGGAATCGCTCTGAGACCCCGCCTTGAACCCTCTCACTCTGCGACTCCCGGCAAGATCCATAAATAAGGATGAAACCGACTCCGTTCATGAGTCTCAATTTCTACCACCAACATTAGGGACCCTCGACTGACAACTTGCTCTGCAGATACAATTCAAATAGAGTGCTGAACAGCCGATAATACGGCAACCATGGGTATCTCATCTTCATCTGAGTCTGTCTCTCTCCCCGGGGGCTTTACAGCCTCCTCAACCATCACTGTTACCGCGAGGAGATCCAGTCTCGCCCCCCTACTAGCACGCCTTTAAGTGACGGGGGGCGTTTATATACTGCGCGGTACCTAGTCGATAAAATCTTGGTCGGACCCGCTACACGGGTGTTTACTGTCGATGCTGAGGACCGTGAGGGTCTCATCGCGCTGGCTTCCTGCTTTAAGGCATGGCGAGCCCGATTTCCGACCTGCCAGCCAATCTTTGGGCTCATCCGTTGCAAGAATGGGGGGGAACGGATAGTTAGTGAAAAGCAGCCACTGCCGGAGGGTGCTGGGAATCCCTCGATATCCGGAGATGTCATTATGTGGCTGTGGGAGTACAAGGGGGAAAAGATAATCACTCCCGATGATCAAGATGTCCCACAACTCGACGAATTCATCCCGATGAATGAGTACGATGAGGCACAGTGGGAGTGGTGCGAGAGCCATGCCCCGCAATCAGCGTGTGAACTGGGGGAGTTCGACGCATCTTTGAACATGGAATCATGTCTTCTCTGTGATAGTCGCCATGAGCCTTATAATGCTGCCAACCAAGCAGTCTAGGCCATGGATTGCGACAGACTGGTGCCCCGACCCCTTTACTGATCCGATAAACGCAGAGATACATCGTGACATCAATTGTAAACCTTTTCATCGTTCAATACAATTATTATTCAGTTTATTCAGTTTGGGAATCCGTAAGATGAGGGTTCTGGGCGAAGTGGATGGCTACACCCTAGGGCGTGAAACCATTCTATCCTCTCCAATTTAGAGACGTGATGTCATCTACCAAGTCATCACAGCTATTGATTTACCTCTGTCCATCCGACTGCCATAGGTATTACTACCACCAAAGCTTCATTAACAGCTGTAGACACTCTACCTGTTAAACCACTCGCCATGTCAACTTCTTATCACGAATTGCATGTGCCCCTGACGGGCGCGAGCGGGTTCGTCGCCTCGCATATCCTCTCTATCTTACTGGAGGTGGGTACTTCTAAACAAATTTCAACCCTCAATTGGAAACCACCCCAGGCAATGACTTTCCCCAGCTTGGATTTGCGGTCACTGCGACCGTACGATCTCGAGTCAAAGCAGATGATGCAGTGTGATCAAAACTCACCCGGAATGGAAAGGCAAAGTTCACTTTGTGATCGTTGCCGACTTCACTTCTCGAACACTGTTCAACACCTGGTTCAAAGACACAAAGGTTCCTTTTGATTATGACATACACACAGCGTCACCCCTGAAATTCAATATTGAAGATATGCAGAGGGAAATGATCGAGCCGGCGGTACAGGGGACGACCCAAATCCTCCAAAGCGCGCTCCAACATGGCGGAAGCACGCTGAAACGGTTCGTCCTTCTGGGAAGTGCTGTCTCGGTGCTGAACTCATTCGAAGATTTGAATCAGGAGGGACGCCCCTACACTGAAAAAGACTGAAATTCGGTGGGTGTCTCGAATCCTCGCTTGTCCAGTCCGTTCGAATCTGCCTACCGTCAATTTAGGTCACCGCGCAACAAGCCATCGAGCGCAAGGATTCGGTTCTGGGATATAATGTCTCCAATACACAAGTGGAGAAGAAGGCCTGGGACTTTATGACCGAGTACAAGCCCCAGTTTGACCTGACGGTCATCAATCCCGATATCATCACGGGTCCGATGATTCACCCTATGGAGGGCAGGGGCTCGATCAACGAGACCAACTATTTTGCGGTCGCCAGTTTTATCGATGAAACCAACCCGAGGGTAGAGGAGGTGCTATTTCCTTTTTACCACTTCGTGGACGTGCGTAATGTGGCCAGAAGCCATGTCGACGCGTTAACCAACCCTGCCGCGGCTGGCCAACACATCTTGCTCGTCTCCGGTCTGATTACTCCCCAGCTGGTCGTCAATTTCATTCGGAAACATTTCCCCAACCTAAGAAATAATGTGCTCGAAAGAATGCCGGCCAAAGAGCTGCCAGAGGGCGTACACCCAACCGGCTGGGATATGCGTGTCAGTCTGGCTATTTTATCTAAGGGGAGTGGCTCCGAATGGAGATACATTGGGCTGGAGGACAGTGTGAAGGATACGGTGCAGTCTATGATTCAGCGCGGGGTGTTGACCAATTGATTGATTATCTTGAAGTATGATATACTCTAGTAAGTATTACTAGCTTACGACGTGCTGGTCGTTTAGTAGTTTGCTGAGAGTAATCAGTCGAGAGATTATGGATCTTTGACGCAGGAGGAAACGTTGCGCCACAGTAGAGAAACTAGAGTCTGTATACATATGTCAATGGAGAGCCCAGCCCTATACCCAGTAGCTTGAGCGATGTTTCTATTATGATGCCGGGCTCGAAAGATGTACAGTACATACAATTTGCCCGAAGCGGCATACATAGCCGAGGTCGGGATTTTGTCTGCCCTGGAAACCGTCCGATCGCCATATCAGATGATTCAAGGCCGTAGCAATGTCCCCCAACCTGGCTTCATGTAATAGTGCCACACGGGTTAGTAGAGTCCTACGCGCCCGCCTTGCGACTGCGGAAGATTTTATGGCCGGAATCTGTCAGATAACAGCTATGGTGTATAAGTAGTCCCGAGTATGTTCTCCTCTGATGACTAACCTCACATCACCTATTCTACTCATCCCCTTTGGTTTAAAAGCTCCCTTAGACTATGCTTTGTGTGGCTACAGGCCTCGCACTTGCTCCTGCTTTGTTGAGCCGGGGCACTAATACGGAACCTTTGTATAAAAAGCCAGTTGACATCCCCGGTTATGGTTCTGTGCAAGGAAAAGCAGCCCTAACTACCACCATGGCTGACCAGGTGCCCCACTGTGAGACTATCTTCTTCTTTGGTCACATTTACTTTACTGTTGATAGCTCTGGAGCCAACTGATGGCGTGATCTTTAGCTTGCCCAGCCCTGGAATAGCACGCTGGATGCGACCTTATTCAGTCTAATTTGCCCCATCACCCTGTCGGTCCTCGCAAATTATACCCGGAGCGAGGATTATCTTATCTTAATATCTGGACTTCTGTAACTTCCTCCGGTGACAAGTTACCGGTTACTATCTGGAGTTATGGTATAGGAACAGCACCCCCTCAGACCACCTATATTAGGACTGGAGTGGCGGGCAAGGCCTCCACAATCCCTGACGCAATGGTAGCCTTGTCCGCAGTGGTGACCTTGGCTTGGATCTCTGTGGAGAGTACATTGGTGAGATTCCGAAGGGACTGGAGATTCGCCTTCACAATATTGACAACTCCGACAGAGGTGAAGCCAGGCTTCTATGTCATCTGTCAGTCATCAAACCCACGATAACAAGCACTGTTCTAGAAGCCGGTAAAGAACGCACATTATCGACCAATTTGTCAAGGATGGCCAGAATATCCGGCTTAAGGCCCGTCACAGAGTTTGTGACTCTTGTGCTGCTCGCAGTCGCAAACGTCGCCGGAGAATAAGTGGGGTTGCAAGCACTGTGCTCGAACTGGTATGGTCGGTTTTTATCGTTGAATGGGTTGTTCCATCGACGGATCTAGCGATAACTACTAAGTACTGTACCTGACACAGTCAGCAAGGGTCCATCGCCGCAGCCGAAAACTGGCCGAAGAAACTCGCCGGTTGGTGTTCTCCCCTCACGACCGCGCCAATCACTGCTGCGTGTTGTTGAGCTTAGTAGCGGTTCAAGCACTTGAGTTGGGCTGAGGCCTCGTCTAGGCACCATCGTTTCGCCAGCCAGCCATAATATATCGTGCACTGTTCAGATGTGCCTGTATCTGTTCGTGTTAATTCATTCCCTTCTATATCGTTCTACCATCTGCTTGGGTGACCATTATGGGTTCTGAAATGGCCGCGGCTACCAGCGAAGATGTGTCTCCATCCTTGGAGATTCCGCGCCCGACAATCGCAACATGGAGGCTGGTGATTATTCTGCTTTGGTGAGACCGCAAGAGAGGCTTCACCCGCGCCATGAGTGACGGAGCACTGACCATGAAATTCCCGCAGCATCGCCATCGGGCTGTTCTTGTCTTTGATGGATACCACCATTGTTTCGACCATGCTATACACCATTTCTGACGAATTCGACGGTTTCAAAACCTCCTCGTGGATCGTCCTGGCGTACACTCTGTCCTATGTTGGTGAATATCCACTTCTTGCTTTGCTCTTCTCGTGACATCTTCAATTAACACAAACCCAGGATGCGCCGTATTCGTGGCAAGATTATCCGATGTCATTGGCCGGAAATTCCTCCTGTGCATGTGCTTCCTGATCTTCCTCGGCGCGTCCATGGGATGCGCCGCGTCGAAGAATATGAGCCAGCTCATCGGCTTCCGTGCAATGCAGGGAATCGGCGGATCGGGGCTGTACGCGATGGCCATGATTATCTATCCCGAGATCAGTCCCCCTCCTCTACTCCCGGCAATATCTGGCATCATCGGCGTGGTTGTCGCCCTTGCGGGCATTAGCGGGCCGTTGATCGGGGGCGCCCTGACGAGTTATCGTACCTGGCGCTGGGGATTCTGGATAAAGTATGTCCGTGCAACAGCTCAAGAGACGCAGATGAAGAAAACTGTCTAATCACATGGTCTAGCGGCCCATGTGCGTTTGTTCCTCTGGTCACCCTGCTACTCGTGTGGCCCAACGATTTCCATTTCGCGAAGAATGTTCGTTTCCGGCACCTTGACTATCTCGGCGCACTTCTCATACTGGTCGGATCTGTCCTGTTTGTCTTCATCTTGAATGAAGCAGCCATCAGAGCCTATGCCTGGAACAGCGCCCCCGTGATTATCGTTCTCATCATCTCCGCACTGTCCTGGGGAGCGCTCGTCTACTGGCAGTGGGTGATCTCGTCCATACCGAGATTCAAGCAGATTCGGCCTCAATTGCCGTTCCGGCTCCTGTCAAGCCGTGTCATGGTCGCCGGCTTTGTGTGAGTTTCCTTGGAAGCGATCCCCCGAGAATATGAAATAGCACTCCACTGACGGGCCCGCAACAGGAGCACCATCCTAACTGGATTTGTCATGCTTCTGGTCATCGTCAACATCCCCCTGCGCGCGCAGATTGTCAACCTGAAGGACGCGGTCGCATCGGGGATTCTGCTCCTCCCGTTGATGGCAGGCACCGCCGTCGGCTCTGCGATCGGCGGGGCCGCGTCTGCGAAGCGAAACAATGCCTTCTGGACGCTGAACCTGGCGAGCATTTTTATGGTGATTGGGAGTGCCTCGCTCTCGACTCTGACGGACTCGGTAGACCCTGCACCGAGGCAGTGGGGACTCGAAGCGATTCTGGGGTTCGGGATCGGGTTGAGTCTCTCTACAATGACGTTTCTTACGACGATGCAGGTTGAGTTCCAGGATCATGGTACATGCGTTCCTTGTCCTTTTCTTCCAATGCGTATATCCGGCTGCGGTATTCAAACGAATATCCCTTCGATACTCGTCTAAATTTCAAGAAAAAAAACTAACCTACACCCCCTTCATAGCCGTCGCCCAAGGCATCGTCGCCCAACTGCGCATCTTCGGCGGCAGCATTGGCATCGCCTCGGGCTTCATCGTCTTCAACACAAACGTCCAGCATACCCTCGCCGGCGTCCTGACACCCGAGCAACTGGATGAATTCTACCGGACCCCCGCCGCGATTTACCGGCTCCCCGTGCGCCAGCAGCTTGTCGTTCGCCAGGTCTACGTGAGCACGTTCAACACCGACATGCGCATCTGTGCGGGGATCGCGGCGGCGTGCCTCGTTGCGACGCTGTGCACATATCAGCGGAAGCCGCAGTCAATCAAGCAGCGGCTGGCGGATTTGGAGGAGGCGTATGCAAGGACTGAGGCGGCTAGGGGTGAGGGGGCTGCGTGAAGGGTCAAGGTTGAGTGGCGTCAAGGGAGCGTGTCCTGCTGTGGATGCTCGAGGGGTGGATGTAATAAGGGTCCTGTAAAGGGATGATTGTTGGAAGGCTTCCACTTGCATCGGTGTCGGCAATTGAAGGATTGGTTTTGTCTTTGTCTTTTTTTTTCTCGTTTGTAGCATGTCACCACTATGAAGACTATGAAATGTTACGTTTTTCCCTCGAGAACTGCCCCTGCCAGTATATTATCCCCTTCGTGACAGCGACGACCATACGGAGCAAGCATGTATGGATCACGTTGGTTGCCCAGCAGCATATCAGTGTCAGAACAACAAGAGGTATAGAAAATCCGTGTAGCCACTGCCTACAACCGAGGCATAAAACAGGTCCAAAGTTCAGACCTCACGAGGATCGTCTCACTGCCAATAGGTACACCTATCCTTACCTATGTTTCTACCAAGATAAGCCACTTAGAGATGATTTGCATTGGGTTCCCCTCTTGGATGGATCGGACATCACCGGTGTCAATTGGTCCACAAGACACATACCTTCTTGCTCTCGGGCTCTTTTGCCCCCTCAATGCCTCGGTGGCTTTCCCCATCAATGTGACTTCTCGGTGGAGGCGCCCTGATCTGCGGACCTGTTTTGGCTATTGAGCCCCGGGTTGTGGCGGCGACATTTGGGTCCGGGCGGAGAGATCTCTCATGGTCCAGCCCTAGGTATGGCGCGGGCTATCGGCGCTGGGATTTCTCAGCCCTGACGGGCAGTGCCACAGTTTTGATAGCAGTGCCAATGGCTACGGACGGGGCGAGGGAATGGGCGTCATAGTCCTGAAGCCGCTGACGGATGCCATTCGAGACAATGATGTTATAAGGGCAGTTATCAGGGTAAGACTACGATATACATACCTCTTGGGGTTGCATTTCCTAACCTTCTCGCACTGAATGCAGGGCACGGGAATGAACCAAGACAGGAAAACACCAGGAATCACAGTGCCCAGCTCAGAGGCCCAGAGAAGCCTCATTCGATCCACATACAAGGCAGTCGGACTCAGGTTTTCCGAATCAGCGTATTTCGAGCCCCACGGGACAGGAACACCCGTTGGCGACCCCCTTGAGCTGTCCGCTATAGGCGAAACTATCGGAGTCGCAAGAGCAGCAGATGGGTGCCCTGCACTGCTTGTGGGATAGGTCAAGAGCAACATTGGATATTTGAAAGGCGCCTCGGGGATTGCGGGTCTCATCAAGACGGTTCTCGTTCTCGAGCAGGGTCGGATCCCCGCTGTGCATGGCTTTGAGGCGCCGAAACCGCGGTTTGACCTGTAAAGATGGAACATCTGCATCCCTACTGAACTTACGCCGTGGCCAACGCCGGGGCTACGCCGGGCGAGCGTCAACTCGTTTGGGTATGGAGGCACGAATTCGCATGCTATCCTGGATGACGCGTTTCACTATCTTGCAGGTATGTGAGAAATACCTCTAATCCCATAGAAGCATATGTGCTGATTAGATCTCCGACCAGGGTGGAATACCACCGCGAACCATAACACACGGCTCCATGTGAGCTCGCTTCCATCAACGACAGACTCCGGGATTTCCATTGACCCTCTGGATAACGTGTCAACCGCCACACCAAAGCTATATGTCTTTTCGGCCTCGGAACAGGACGGGGTCAACCCGCATTGCCCAGACATAGGCGGACTTTGTCAGGGACAACCATGAACCAAAACAAAAGGGGTATGATGAGGTGTACAACTCGATGCTGGACAATGAGCTCGGACTTGCATACACGCTCGTCGAGAGGCGAACAATCTTCGACTACCGCGGATTCGCCGTCGCTATATCGCTGCAGGATCTCCGAAAGGCGCTGGAAAGCACGCCTCCAAGGGCAACACGATCGTACAAGGCTCCTTCCTGCGCATGGGTATTTCTTGGGCAGGGAGCGCAGTGGTTTGCAATGGGTCGGGAGCTGCAGGAGATGGAGGTCTTCAGCGATAGCCTCACGGGCAAGGCTGTAGTGTCGTTCCTCGAGCTCGATAACCCACTGCTTGGAGACATGTCCGAACACGAGTTTGTCACAGTCAGGAGCCTGATCTTGAACAGCGCAAGTGTGATCTGGGTGACCCGGCAGGGCCAAGTTGCCAGTGCAGCCTCGCACCCCTTTGCAGGAGTCACCAGCGGACTGTTGCGAACCGTCCGCTCAGAAGATTCGACAAAGCGCCTCAGCAATCTCGACCTATCGCTCGAGACAATTCCACAGGATGAGCTTGCTGCCAGCATCGTCTACAAAGTGTTCCGGATTGTCCTGGGACCGGACGTGACGTATCTATTAGCTGGTAAATTGGGTGGGTTTGGCCGCAATATTGCCGATTTGCTCCTGTCGCATGGGGCCAGACAGCTTGCGTTCATATCTCGATCAGGCGACTCCAGGGAGAAAGGGAAGATATTTCTGGATCAGCTGCGTCGGCACGATTGCGATGCAAGGACTTAGGCTTGCGATATATCGAATCGGGCCAATCTACAGAGTATGCTGGCACGGTGTGCCGCTGATGAGATGCCTCCGATCAAGGGTTTGATCCAATGTTCGATGGTACTCAAGGTAGGTTCATCCCTCAATTTCTTTGATTGCATCCTTCTTTCATTGTCCCCCTGTTGAAGCGCCCGTATGGCCCCGAACACGGATGCAATCATCAGGACGGCGTCTGCGAGAAAATGTCCTACGGGGACTGGATCACGAGTACGCGTCTCAAGATCCAGGGCTCCTGGAACCTGCACGAGCTCGTCCCGAGACCTCGACTTCTTCATCATGTTCTCCTCAATCTCTGGTGTGATCGGCAATCCAGGGCAGACCAACTACGCAGCCGGCAACGCGTTCGAAGACGCCCTGGCTCTCTTCCGGCATCAGCAGGGCCACCCCGCCACGACGATTGATCTCGGCGCCGTCCGCGACGTCGGATACATTGCCGAGTCCGACAAGGCAGCGGACCTGGCTCATATTGCGGCGTTCCAGATTGCTGAGAGGGAGGTCCATCATCTTGTGGGGCTTGCGATTGCGGGGGTCCCCGATCTAAGGGCCAGGGCCAGAGACAGGGTCGGGGGAAGCAGGTCCCGGCGCAGATCATCACTGGCCTGAGCGCGAGCCAAGAGATGGACGATGTCCTCCGACGGGCTCGCTGGGCGCGGGATGCCAAGTTTTCGACGCTGTGGAAGCCAGGTGGTGTAGAAAGCGGCGATGCGGCGCTTCAGGCTGGCCTGGAGGCATTCAGTAAGGCGGAGTCGCTGGAAGCTGCGTCCGGCATTGGGGAGGATGTGATTTCTCGCAGATGGTGAGGGTGCTGATGATTCCCGTGGAAGATATCAACGGTGCGCAACCTTTGCACACATATGGAGGTAAGCCTGAAACCCGTTCCCGACAGCTATTTGGAATCTTGATGTTGACTGCTTGCTATTGAACTCGCTGATTGTAGTTGAAACTAGAGCCTGGATGGCAAAGAAATTCCAGATGGAAATTTCGGTCTTCGACATCCTCAGCCCGACTCCCTCGTCGGCGCTTGCCACCAAGCTTGTTAGTGAGAGCAAAATGCTTCCGGAGCGACTCAGGAAGGAAACTAGTGGAGAGGGCGTACAGGGGAACAGCCTGGAGTGACTGTCATTGTCATTGTCATTGTATGTCTATGCTATCTAGTACGGATTAGTGATTGCGAAACCCACATCCAAAGCAACCAAGTATACTCCCATCAGTCTCGAAAGTTGCGAAAATGCTTCAGTAGTGCAGAGACCTGCGAGCGTGCAGTGTCCAGTTTGGGGACAGAACTGATCCAACAATCGCAATTCACTTGTGGGGGGGCACCATCCAGGGACTCGACCTTGGACAGGATATGGCGGAACCGAATCAGAGAAAATTCCAAACAGATGAGAAGCTCGAGGCCGTTCTGTTGAACGCCTAATTGTTTCTCGTCGGCGCCGGCGAGGCAGATGCATGATCCAGCCACTTGATCATTCCGTGAGTCAGGCCTGGCAGGGCGAAGCTGCTGCTGCTGCGAGATATTGCGCGAGCCGCGATCTCCCGGAGCTGTAGCAGTGGATTGGTGTATTTGGAAATTGTGCTGGATGATATCGATGCACACCTGGATTGCCTCTCTGAGTGAGACCGCGATGATCTTGGCCTCGGACAAGTCGGAGCGCACCATCGGCGACGCATGCAAAGCATCGTCCTGGAGCGCAAACGCCGCCTGACTCAGCTCGTCAAAGAGTTTGCATATCACTCGCACCTTGTACCGGCCGGCCTCGGTGAGGAGATCGAGCGTCGTGGACTTGCAGTTGTTGTGCAGTCCGCTGGACAGTTTCAACGCATCCAGGAACCCTTTTTCTCCGGGTCCGCTGGGGTCCTCTCCGTTGCTCTCATTCAGGACCCCCGGACTCCCCAGGAGGACGATCGGGTCGGTCTGCAAGGGATCGCCTACTGGTCCCATATCCGGGAGACAGGGGTCCGGCAGAGAACCGATACCCGGCCCGTGCATGATCAACTGGCCGACAGTATTCCAGCCACGGAGATCAGGTGCTAGAAAGTGATCAAAGGATGCTGGAGGTGATGTCTGCCCAGGGCCTGGCTGCTGTGCTTGCCATGTAGATCCATTATTCCATCCAGCGTCGTCGGGGCTCCACATGTGCGCTTGACCGTCCTGCAGGGGTCTGCCAGTGGTGCGCTGTTGATAAAGCTTGCCTATTTGTTGCGCTGGACCCGTCTGCGCCAGGGAGGTTTGCGGGTGGTTAGTTGGAGGAGTTTCCGCCGGCGGACGGTGGTGCTGTATTGAAGCCGACGGTTTGTGGAACTTGAACGGGATAGAAAGAGGCTGCTTTCGCGGCCGCCCTGTCCTACTCCGAAGCGAAAAGAGGCATTGTCGTTGGTTGAGCACGCATGCTTTGCAGCGACCTCCGCTGGTGGCTGCGGACAGTTCGCAACGGATCTTGCGCGCGTGGCATTCTTCACACGCCAACCGCAACTGAGCCTCGATGGATTCTTCGATCCTCGTCCGAGTCCCGCCTTGGTCTGCCATTCGTATCACGGTATGTTAAGTTTTATCTCTCCGAACCTTGTCGAGTGCGCGACTGGATGTGGTAGTGGGGCCTTTTATGCGAGCTGCAGTGCAGTGCAGTGCAGTGCACTTGGTCTCGCTAACATTCCCCGGAATGACCGTTCGAGGGTCTCCAACACCATCACCCGGCGCAAGACTCCATTGGGTAGAGGAGGTTCGTTCAATGAATGCCAACGAGCGCGGGGAAACGATCAGTGCGCCGCTAAGGCAGTTGATCCGGAACACCAGCCATGTTATAGGCAAGGCTTCTTCCCCGGTCTATGCGGCTAATTGTACCTTTCCCCAAAGGGGCATGACGGGGCCGACTTTTCATTTGCCACCAGGAAACGCCTGGCGTGCTCATTTAGTGAATCCCTTAGGGCTGACCCCAGGAACCACTCCGGATGCAAGTTGACTGTGCCGTCCGGAGCGCCGGCCCTTGCTGCATGCAACCAATTACATTTGGAACCCCTCATCTGGCTACAAGCAACGACTCAATTGTCCACTTGATTCGTGGGCTCTCACAACCCCAGGAACCATCGCCGAGAACTCCCGCGCCCCCCTTCCCCAATATATTATCATGCGGTCGCTCGCACTACAAATAGTACTAACCAGGTCGCCAAGGCAATGTCCATATGGCACGGTGTCACCCTACCACCTCACTTCTTCCCAGACTGTTCGCCCTTTTCATGCATGAGCGCAATATCCCACATCCATCGCGTAGCCACAGCCAGCAGTCCGGCCCACCCCCAGGGTACCAGCCATCCTAGAAACAAAAAACAGGGCATCAGCGAGAGACTCACCCCAAAACACCGGACAGCACGACCCACCAATAAGGAATACCGTATCCCTGCTTGAGAGAGTCGCGATGAGAGTGATGAGCCCCGTCGCCACGATCGCTCCAGAAAGGCCCCACGCCAAGTCGAGGCGCGCCAGCAGAACACGAATCGCCTTGCTCGAGCAATATCGAGCATCGAGCAGTCGGCGATACTCCTCTCCTTGTCCACCATCGACCGCGAGCACGTCTTCGACGATGGTGTAAACCCCCGGTCGCACCAGCGCTGTTCTGTCCATCGACGAAACGCGGAACGGATATCGGGCGTGCATCCGGTTCATCACGCAAGCGCATAGCAACTGGCCGCTAACTTGAAGGATCAGAACTGGCAGGGCCAGACTGATGAGTCGAGTCGATGTGTGCGCGACGTTGTCGTCGTCGTGCCGGCTCGTGCTAATCGCCGCTATCATCAGGGCCGCGATGTAGCAGAACCCCGTGAAAAAGTTCCATTGGAAATAATCGAGCTATGCACGCGAACAGATCATGGTATAAGCCCGTTGAAAAATCTGCCATGGACCAGACATAAATCACAACTTGACTCACCTGGTGCCGCTTGCTGCCAGTCGGTCGACAGGCAGAGTCGAAGCGAACGAGGCGCCAGGTCCGGCGAAGCAGAGCCAGAACACTGAGCGCGCCGATTGCGGATGCGAGGATCGTCAATACTATAGGGCTCGTCTTGTCAGCAAGCCGGTACCGCTATTGCGCTCTCCTCCACTCGGTGCGGAGAAGGGAGTACTGCCTACCTATCCAAAGTTCGAGCCCTGCAACCTTTAGCAATACAATATATAGGATCTCTGGTAGTAACCCGGCTCCCGTAAAGATACAGGCCGCAGCGATTGCGATTGCCACCCTGTATCGACCAAGGTCCAGTGGGATCCTGGTCACCTGGTCTACGTCCGGGTCTGGATTGGAAACCTGGACTACCTGCGAATCCTTTGACATCGTTGCAAGAGGCGCCAATGGGACCATAGACTAAACGGAAACAAAAGAAAACTATTCCTATACACTAGCTATACACTAGAGTTTAAGAGGCATACTCTGCGTGAAGTAGTCGCTGAGAATCATGCTGCCTGCCTGGCGAAGCAGGCGCCAGAAATCAACAACGCCCGCAATAATTCCGGCAGCTTTTAGGCGCAAAAAGTCGCCGACCGACGGGCTCAAACTCTGCTGGCTGCCATAAAAAGAAAACTCTCTGAGATTGGAGGCGCACTTTAGCCGGCGTGTTTTCCCCCACCAATTTGGTTCGGGTGATCAACAGGAGTCTGTGGGGAAGGGACATTGTGGGGAAGGGACATCGTTGTAATCCTTATTGGAGTCGCACTACTTAGTATTGACCTTTAGTGTGGTCTTCCCCGATTTTATTCATTATCATACATTATTTTTTTTCCTTCCCCGCATCCACTGCGCTACTTTCTGCCTGACATTCCCCGCGAAGACATCGCCTTTTGATACACAGATGGCGCACCAAGAGCGTCCCAGAGCACCGTTCAAGGACTGGCCGAATGATGCAGGCGTAGGTAGCTCTGTCAGACCCTTGGCGAGCTTCGCTAGCTGACGATATTATCTTCCCGCAGTTCGAAACCACGGCCGAGACGCGCACCCCCATTGAGCTCCAGGTCGTTGGATCCCTGCCGAACCAGCTCGCCGGTACGTTGTACAGAATTGGCCCCGGGACGTACAAAGTCAAGGGCAGCCACTTCCAGCTCAGCCACTGGTTCGACGGGTTCTCCTTCGTACACCGATTTGAGCTGGTGCCCCAGTCCACCACCGGGACGTGCAAGGTCCTATACAACTCGCGAGGGCAAGTCGATGCCCTCGTTGAAGAAGCGCGAAAGTCTGGCACGTTGAAGGGGATGACCTTTGGGCAGAAGAGGGATCCCTGCGAGAGCATCTTCCGGAAGGTCAAGTCGATATTCCATCCGCCTTTCAGTTCCAAGGACCCGGGGCTTGTCAATGCTGGAGTCACTCTACATGCCAATGTTAGCTCTTTCTTTTTCTTCAAGCCACTGGTGGATTTAAGTCTGATTCTCTGACCGGACCACGCGTTAGGCCCCTGGTGTGCCGGAAATTTTACGAGCGCGTCCTGATGGCGCTCGATTCCGCAGCCTGACCTCGTTGACCGATGCCAATGTGCTGAAACACGTAGGATACTCCCCACCTCTTCGACACTTCTCCAAAGAGACTAACGCATACCCCATCAAGATCGACCCCGAGACACTGGAGCCCATCGGAGTAACCCGGCAAAGCGACCTGCACTCCGACCTCAAAGGGCCGCTCTCGTGCGCCCACGCCGAGTTCGATACCGCAACAGGAGACGCCTACAACTACAACCTCGACATCGGCAGATACGCAACCTACCGCATCTTCAGGACGTCCGCACAGACTGGGCAGACCGAGATCATTGCAACCATTACGGGCCCCGATGTCAAGGCAGCCTACTTGCACTCGTTCTTCCTCAGCACCAACTATGTGATTCTGTGTATCTGGCCCGCCCTCTATGGAGCCGGCGGGCTCAAACTACTCTGGGAGAGAAACATAGCAGACGCTTTGCATTTCGATCACAATGTGCAGGCTCGATGGTATGTCGTTGACCGATTGCACGGCAAAGGCGTCGTCGCTACATACGTGAGCCCGGCGTTTTTCTGCTTCCATACTGTCAACGCATGGCAGGAGACGAGCCATGACGGGTCCACCGACGTTATCTGCGATATCATCCAGTATCCTACCGACGAGATGATCCAGCGCGCATACTATGATACCATGGTCTCCACCGGTCCCAATGTCAAGAGGTACTATGGCAGTGAGCTCTCGCGCCCCAGTTTGGTTCGCTACCGTCTGCCTTCTGTAAGCCACAGGGCCACCGAGGAGAGCACATCTGGATCGACCTGCCATCCAGAGGCAGAGGCAATATTGAGAATTGATGACGACTTTGTCGGAGACCTGCCAACAATCAACCCGCGCTTCAAGACAAGAAAGACCCGATATGTCTACAACCTTGTGAATCAAGGAAAAGTAAGTTATCCCGCCCATGGAAATTAATCCTCTTTCACACCTCGCTGATGACCTCACCAACTGATTCTAGTCATCCTTCTTTGATGCCATTGCAAAAATCGACCTCGAAACGCAAGAGTCCTGGCTTTGGGAGCAGAACCGCCATACCCCTGGTGAGGCCATCTTTATCCCCGACGGCGAAGCACCGACCGAAGATGCGGGGTATCTTCTGAGTGTTGTCCTCAATGGAGACACAGGTACAAGTTACCTTCTCTGCTTGGACGCACGCACTATGCTGGAGGTTGGACGTGCTGTGTGTGATTCGGCTATCGGGTTTGGGTTCCATGGGTCGTATTATCCTACCCAGACTCTGTGATATATGAATTGTGGGCTATCCACCACGGGTTTCTCTTTTCCTTTGTGGTAATAACCTTGGTTAAATGGAAGGAAATCCAGTGAAGCTATACTGGAATGGTAACGAAAGAACCAATTATTACATTAGGCAAGCTGAGACTCAACAGTCCCTTCACAAATCTCCACTAGCAAAGTCTAATCTTGAGCGTTGCAGTATATTACAAGAATAAATATTCATTGAAAGCTTGTTCTTACATAGCTAAAGCTAATATTGTTAGTACCCTAAATGTACACCCTATTGGTTATACTAAGAACCTATTTTTGTCTCTCGGCTACCAAGCTTGCAAATGGATTCGTTCAGTAATGCTTTTTGGACCCTATAAACAACGATACTGCCGTAAATAGTAATCTGGTGCACTTGGTTTTATAATCAAGGATTGATGTATTAATATTATCCAAGGCTGGCTCTGTCCACGAACAGCTTTATACCACCTTTTCAGCAATTTCACAGGGTTTGACCCCATGGGGTCAATGGCGAGAAGCATGGAGGCTTTATATGGGATTATTACATTTTAACTCTAGCAAGGGGTTTCTTCTAATCTCTCATGATCGGCCAATGGGCGGATAGGGTGCTTCATCTTCACCAATACCAGTCAAGTCGAGCTTTGAACGACACACAAGTGCCCTCGTATCCATCCAGACCAAGGACCGACTTGATGACCGATCCTCCAGAGGAGTGAAGAAGTTACCGTGGAGAAAGATGTGCACGGATCCTTCTGAAGGTTTGTTTGTAGCGATTTCCGATGCAAGCGAGGCTCCAAAAGGGGGCCCCCTCACATCCCCCGGGTTTCAGGAACGTAACGGGCGATGCGCCCTCATCTTCTCCCACTCGACTAGGACCCGAAATGCCAACAACATCAGCACTTTCTCAATTTACGTTCACGAATTACGGCCGCTTAACAACGACCTTTACGGCACCCACTTCATGTCAATCTGAGGAAAAATACGCCCAGATCACTTCCATCTACTCGCCGCACCTCGGAGAATGGCTGGCCGACTGTTCGCTGACGTATGGGTACTGTCTGCCATCTGGGACAATAACGCCAGCATCGTCTGGCACAAACAGACCACTTGCTGCGTTTGAGGTCCCTTACTTCTCGCCCGGCTTAGATTGTCCCCTGGACTGGCGAGCGGTCGGGACCTCGTGGCGGACAGGTGAACGTATCTCTACAACCGGCGCGTTTGAGGCAGAGGCGCATACGCCATATACCGATGGCCGGTGGATGTTCTCCCCTCGATTCTGTCGCCGGGTGAGACGGCGGTGTTGTGTTGTCCAAGGTACGTTCTAGCCATACCATTCATAATCCAAGATCCCATCCGGCTCTAATGCTCCATATACCGAGAGACCATCTGGCATCCGCCCCGCATTCCAGCTCCATGACCGGCGGCAAAAATGGGATCTGCTACTCCACACTCCCCATCTACGTACTCACGACTGGATGCCAGTAATACCTCCCGACGGACGCCTACACACTGGCGACGACGAGCTATTCAATAGATGGAGCGACAATATACGGATCGCTCATCTTCATCAAGGGTCCGCACCATCGATCACGTCCACGAGCACATCTGCGACAGATGCAACAACTACACTCATGGGAGTCAGTGTTATGGCGATGGTGACGTTGATTCATACAAAGGGGGACCGGGCGGGGGGTCTATCCACGAGAACTAGCGCGGGGATTGGAGTTGGCGTCCTTGGTTTAATCGCTGCTGCAGTGTATTTCTTCTGAAAGAGGACACACAAGGGGCCATCTCATGGTGCAGAGGACCGTACTCATCAACCATCTTCCAATCATCTCCAAATTGGACAAACGCTAGGTTGATATGCGTAAGAGCACCAGCAGGAATGTTCTCTGGCTCCAGCGTTCCGCATGGCCGGCTGAATTGGAACAGCTCATAGTAGGCAACCACTCTTTCGAGGGAGCTAGTATCGCTCGTGCTCGTACAAGGCGGCTCGCTAAGGCGGACAGATTTGTCAGTGGTTTCGATTTCTTCTTGGAAGTGGACATGGATATCTTTGTGAAGGGTCAGAATCGAGAACAACATACTCAACAGGATCACAGCCACGTTGGCAACCTGTACCGCGGAATTCGCTTGTAGAGCCACAAAAGCCAAAGGAACTACAACAAACACCAAGAGGACAACTGTTCCACCTTTACCGCACTGCGCCTTCGCATCACAGTCGTTGAGACAGCCATCACCACAGTAATCATCACCAAAACCACACCTGTGAGAGAAGATCAGTTTGATCAGTCATTTTATGGATGAAAGCTCGGCACTGGAGCAAGGCGATACCTTCCAAATTAACTGCAACATCCCTCCAAACAAGGATTTGATTCCGAACAAACAGCACCTTGCTGTGCTTTAACAAAGAAAACAAACAAAAGAATAAATAAGGAATTGGTCCATAGTTTTAGGAACCTCATCCTGCCAGCATCCCACTGTGTAGTAAGAACTACCTAAAGGACTCGGCAAGGTTCAAGATTGCGAGTAGTAATATTAAAGAGAGAATTCACGCATGGCCTAGAGGAATGAAACTTTGGAAGAGCTATAAGAAGGCTTTATGTAACATAAATAATTTTCGCTATCTATTGCGCTTTCTTCATTTCAGTCTGATGTCCCCTCGGTTGTAGCGTTAGGGCATTTTGCTAAATTTAATCTAAATACTCCGCAAGGCTTTCGTACGCCCAGTATGATCTCGGAGAGTATCCTAGTGTATTTTAAGGGCCTTAGATCCATTTCTGATACTGGAACAGAGGAGCCTAAACTTTTGTTCCTATTTTTCTTCATTAGTGTTGTTGGGTTTTAGTCCATGCAGGGGTCCGATTTTTTGCGAGTCTCAATTAACTTATTTTCTAGTGTCATTAAAGAGAGCAAGTAGACAAGACAAACAAAAACCATCATGGCAATTGAACCGCACTGGACAGTCTTCTAGAAGGTCTGGCACTAATTTTTGTCTGTTTTCAGTCAACTATTTTGAAACATACGAGATGCCTCAACGTCCATTTCATACTCGGAGGCTCCGGTTACCGGGTTCCTCGGCAAGGGTTCTGGTACCGACATGGGAGTTACCGATAGGGATAGGCGGGACCCAGTTAACACCCTGTGGCTTTTAGTCCATTCAGGGACCTTTTCAGGAGTAGTGCGCTCAGAAGTGCAAACTCAACCTTGGAAATAGCGGAGATTTCCTGCCTAGATGGACGTATATTTACCCAATTCGCCCCCTGTGGATATTACAGCGCTGTTTAGTGCAACTCGGTAATATTGGATAGACTCGGAACTTCACTACGAATCTGAAAACATCAAGTGTTTGAGCCACCACGCTAGCTGGAAGCCTTGTCGCATAACGTTTATACATGTACCCTACCCAGACAAAGGTCGGAGCGTTGGGTGATACGGCCCACACTAGGATCCATTGTTTAAATCTGAAATATTTTTATCCGGATACGAGGTATGTATTTGTTGTGCAAATTGAAGCTAAAATAATTGTATTTCAGGTGAGCCCATTGAGATGAAAATCTCCTACTGAGAGGTTTCTCCGCGGTTTTCGTTCAAGCTATAGGGAGGCCCTAAGGGTGCACCCCACTTATAGGATTCGCCAATCTCCGCATTATTCCAGCACGCACGTTCCTTGAGACAACAAGGGTCGAGATTCGCAATTTCGGCTGCGTGCATCGCTTTCTCGCGATAGTGACGGATTGCTCGTCCACACTCGTCGTACCAGATGATGAGGACAGTCCCTGCGTCAGGGCCTTCGGAGGCCAACGTTTTTTCATCAACGATGTAGATGTGTCCCGCCGCTAAACGGAAGAGGTACTCCGAATAAAAGCAAATCCAAGGGTTGCCATCCTCCTCTGGGTCATAGCCGCTTTCCTCGGCACGCTGGGGATCCGTCTCGTCGGATTCAATTCCCTCTTCTAGGGCCTCCTGGACATTCTCTTCGTATTCTTCGAACAAACAAGTATTATCCAGTAGCTGTGGGGCACGAAGAAAAATCTTCTCCCAGTTGGAACCAAAGTTATACGAAGATGAGTCGTTGAAAACTGTAGCTGAGCCGACGACCTTGGTATCGATGTAATCCTGAATCCGGGCCCACGAGCCTTCTGTAGAAGGGCCGTAGCAGGTGCGGAGCCAACAAGGATCCTCGTTCAAGCCACGCTCAGCAGGTAGGCGGATACGATCCAATAGCTCTTGACTAGGTACTGGAAGGCCTCGAACAGACCTCTTCTCTAGTCTTCGCTGCTGGTTTCGATACGGCTAATCCGATAGGTTAGTTTTCTGGTCGGAGCAATGAGGGGCCAAAATCAAATTACCTCGCGACCGTAGACTCCGAGTGCCACATATTGAGCGAAGATTTCCTCGCGTTGGGCATCAGCGGATAGCGGCGAGTCTTCTTGCCAATGCTCCTAGTATATCGTCAAAACATGCATATAATCGTTGAGTAATAGGTCTTACCAGAAGGAACAGATCAGCCTGCCAGGCTGTAAAGGTTGACATCTTGCAGAGTATTCTGAAGGATGCTGGTGGGACAGAGTGAGAGACTTATTCAAAATCGTCTCGGTACCTAAGCCCTGGAAATGAGATGGCTTTCTTGGCAGGGGCTTAGCCAAGGTGAAGTGGGGAATGTCATAAAATTGATGAAAGGAATTGTGCTCTGTAGTGTAGTAAGAGTGAGTGGAAAGATGTGGTATTCAAAATGCTATCTGAGAGGAAGCCTTCCTATAAAGCTATACTCCAGGAAGCGGGAGGCACCATCAGCATTGTCTATATATATATTCTAGATTACCAACCGGTGTCCTTTTAGGAGAATACTGCCCTAGTAAAAAAAAAGTGAAAAGATTTAAGAAATTATTATCTAGATATCTTACTATTTTTTTTTACTAGATATAGGAGAACTAGCTTACTTACTTAAAGCTTATTTTAAAGTAACTTAACCTAGTTATTATATATTAACCTTAACTTAATTATAATTTAATAATTAGATTAAGGTTTAAAAAAGAACTTTATTATTTAATTAAGATTAGATTAAGAATAATTATTATTTTATTTATTTATATTTATTAATTAGAAAGATTAGATATACTAAATATATTATAAATTATAAATTAATTAATAATATATATATATTTTTTATATAAATAATATATTAAATATAATTTATTTTTTATTATAATATAATAATATTTTTTATATTTATTTATTATATTTATTTTATTTATTTTATTTATTTTATTTATTTTATTTATTTTATTTATTTTATTTATTTTATTTATTTTATTTATTTTATTTATTTTATTTATTTATATTACTATATTTATTTTTATTTATCTTATTTCTTCATCCTAAGAGATAAATATTTCAAAAAAAAACTTTTATAAAATATAATATAAAGAAATAATATTTAATATAAATAATTTTTTATATTAGTTTTTTTATAAATGATTTTTAAAATATGTTTCTTTAAAAGTTTTAAAAATTGTCTGATATAGGGAAGTTCTGATGTTTATTTCTGATTTACTTTACTTATCTTTTACTTTTATTTAGAAATATAGAAATATAATAAGAAAATAAGATAAAAATAAGATAGTAGTAAAAGATATTAAAAATATAATAAATATAACAAAAGAATAAAGAAATCAAGAAAATAAATAGAAGTATAAATTTAATATCTAATAATTAAATTAATTAAAAAAAAGAATTTTTTTTTATATTTTAATCAGATTATTAATTATTTCTTTATAAAAAATAGATTAGTTTAAAAATAAGTAATTAAAAAGAAATTATATTATCTAGATAATATAGATTATTAAGCTTATTTAAAAAAAATAATTAAATTAATTTAATAAATCAATTTAAGTTAAATAAAATTATATATCTTATATATATACATAATTCTTATTTTATTAAATAATCTTAAACAAAGTAGAATAAATAAATAATTTAAGAATATTAAATAATCTAATTTAGTAGAAATTAAATAACTAAAATAACAAAAAAATAAATAAAATTAATAGTTAATTATTCTAATTTGAAAAATAAAACAAGTATAATTCTAAGTTAAAAATAACTTAGTTAATTTTTTAATAATTATTTTATTAATTAATACTTAGTAAAACTTTTTAATAGAACTAGAAATTAGTAATTAGAGTAGCTAACAGCCAGGTTAGGTTAGGTTAATAGAAATTTTTATACCTTACTACAGGTTAATAGTTAGATTAAAGAAATTTTTATATCTAATTATAGTATAACTAAAAGTAGAATAATCAATTATCTTAATTATTCTTAATATTAAGATTAGAGTGGCTAATAGCCAGGTCAGGTCAGGTTAATAGGAACTTTTATACCTAACTATAAATTAATAATCAGGTTAAAGAAATTTTTATATCTAACTAGAGTAGCTAATAACTAGGTTAAATTAGGTTAATTAAAATTTTTATACTTAATTATAGGTTAATAATTAGATATAAAAAATATATATTTTTATTTAGATTAATTAATAATTAATTTATAGATTAAATTTCTTAATAACTAAATTTAAAAAAAATAATAAATTTAAATAGAATATTTCTATTTAATTCTTATTTAATTTATATCTAATTTTACTTAATTTTATTTAATTTAATTTTATTTCTATTTAATTCTATTTAATTTAGATATAATAATTAATTATAATTAATTATTATATTTATAATTAATTTAATTTTTATATTTTAATCTAATTACTAGATTAAGATTAGATTAAGATTAAAATATAATAATTAGATTAAGCTACTCTATATCTAATTATAGTATAACTAAAAATAGAATAATTAAAATAATTAATTATTCTTAGTATTAAAATCTAGTTACTATATTTTTTTAACTCTAGTATAGTTAAGATATATCTAGATTAAAGAAAAATTAATCTAATTATTTTAACTATTATCTAAAAATATATAAAGATAAGTTTTCTAAAAAAAAAATAATTAAAAGATATAGTAATATCTTCTTTCTTTTTATCTATAAAAAGTAATAAGAAAATCCTAGTAGTATTAATATAATTTAATTTTTTATAATATTAGTATTTTTATAGTATAAAATATAAAGAAAATATATAATTATAGTTTAGTTTAGGCTATATACTAAAGATTTAATAAATTATATAAAAAATACTATATTTTTATTACTAAAATAATAGTTAAAAATTAGTATAATATTTTTAGACTATTATTAGATCTAGAGTAGCTTAACCTAATTATTATATTTTAATCTTAATCTAATCTTAACCTAATAATTAAGTTAAAATATAAAAATTAAATTAATTATAAATAGAGTAGCTAACAGCTAGGTCAGGTTAGGTTAATAAGAACTTTTATACCTAATTATAGATTAATAATCAGATTAAAAAAATTTTTATATCTAACTATAATATAACTAAAAATAAGATAATTAATTATTTTAATTATTCTTAATATTAAGATCTATCTATTATACTTTTTTTAACTTTAGTATAATTAAGATATATCTAGATTAAATAAAAATTAATTTAATTATTTTAATTATTATTTAAAAATATATAAAGATAAGTTTTCTAAAATAAAAAAAAATAATTAAAAAATATAATAATATTTTTTTTCTTTTTATTTATAAGAAAAAATAAGGAAATTCTGATAATATTAATATAATTTAATTTCTTAAAATATTATTACTTTTATAGTAAAAAATATAAAAAAAATATATAATTATAGTTTAATTTAAATTATATACTAGAGATCTAATAAATTATATAAAAAATATTATATTTTTATTATTAAAATAATAATTAAAAACTAGTATAATATCTTTAAATTATTATTAAATCTTTTTAAATAAATTTAATAAATCTATTATTTTCTTATTTTTTATTAAAAAAGATTTTAATTATTTATATATTAAATTAAAGATTATCTATATTATATTATATAATTAATTTATTTTAATAATTATATTATTTATAATTATCTAATTTAAATATTAGATATTATACTATAATTTTAATAATAGATTTTATAAAAACCTTTTTTAGATTTTTTTTATATAAATATTCTTTTTATTTAAACCTATTATTTTTATTTAATATTTATATTTAAATCTTTAGAAAAAGCTAGATATATTAAAATTATAAAATTTCTAGAAATTAAAATATAAATAATAAAATATCTATTAAAATATAATTTATATTTTAATAAAATAATATATTTAGACTTTAGATTTATAATAAAAGAAAAAATTATTTAAATCTTAATTCTAAATATAACTTTAAATAATTAAATATTTAAGTTATTTAAGAAAAATATTTAATAATTCTAGACTTTAAATATAGTTTTTTATTTATTATATTTATTAATAATAATAAATATAATAAATAAATTAAGCTAGAAAAAAAAATATAATAAATTATATTGATATATAAATATATTTTTAAATTAAATAATATTATTTTTATAAAGTTTTTCTATTTTTTTTTATTAATTTATTATTTATAAAATCTTTCTAGTGTTATAAATTAATTATAATTATTTAAATTTATTTTTAAAAAATATTATTAAACTTTTTTTTTCTATTTTTTAAATCTTTATAAATAATAATAAATCTTAAATTAAAATAAATTATTTAAATTAAATCTTTACTTCTTTTCTAAATCTTAAGATTATATATATTATAAAAAATTAAAAGATTATTTTATATCTAATTTTATAAAAAGTTTTTCTATTTTTTATAATTAATAGTAGAAGATATTCTTTTCTAAAATTTATTTATAAATTTAAAAACTATTATTTTACTTTAATTAAGAGAAATTATTAATATTATAAAAAATTTTTTAAAAAGATATATTATTTTTTAATAAAATTTTTTATATTTATTATTTTATATATCTTTATATTTTATAATATCTAAAAATTAAAAACTCAGAAACTAATTTTATAAATTATTATTTTTATAAAAAATATAAAAAAAAATATCTTTAATTATATCTAAATAAATAATTAATTAGATATTAAATAAAGAATTATTATAAATATTTATTTATTTTTTTAAGATAAATTTTTATTAATTATTCTTTATTTCTAGATCTTTATTATTTATAATAAATAAGATTTTTAAGATTAAGTCTTATATTTTATAATTATTTATTATCTATTATTCTAGATTATTAAGTATATATAATTTAATTAAATAATTAATTTTATTATTTTATTTTCTTACTGAGGACTAAGTTCTTTTAATTAAATATAAATTAAAGAATATTTATTAGAGTTATTTAAAAAAATATATATAAAATTATTATTAAAGTTTTTAAATATTAAATAAATATTAATTATAGTTAATTACTAGATTAATTTTAATTAAAAAATATTTTTTATTTTAACTAGATATTTCTTAATAGAAGATATAGATTATTATAAAATTTTATTAAATTTTTAATTGATATCTAGATTTTATACTAGTAAAAATCTAACTATAATTATTTTATTAATTTTATATAAATATAATCTTTTTTATTAATTATTAGATATAATAATTAATAATATTAATAATAATAATTTGATATTTAATTTAATTTTATCAGAATTCTAGATTTAACTTAATTAAAATATTTAATTTTATAATATTTTTATTAACTTTAATTTTATAAAAATTATTTAAAGTTAATATTATATTTTCTATTTTATTTACATAATTTTTCTTAGGGTTTACATTAGGGTTTACATTAATCAGTGATAAGAGGCTGCATAATGATTGCAGAGGAGATGAGTGTCTTCAACAGGGTAAGCCGAGAATAACGTGTGTGTACAGCGTCAGAACTTTCGCCGTTGGTGGCTCATCAGGGCTGGGTTGATGGTGTTAATTTATGTCCTTACCGACTGAGGAGATTGAGGATTCTAGAGAAAGAGGAGGTTGGACTACCTTTTTTTTTGCCGCTGGAATAACTCGTTCCCTGTACTGAGGTACTTTATTGTTTCTAATAAAGTTGCTCGACGCGCTGTTCTGATATGGAAGGCGTAAATTCTAATTCCGGAGATGATACGTTCTAGACTTGGATTAGCTAAGACCCCTGTTCTTGGCTAGGTAGTAATTACGTGTGTTAGCTATATTATAAGATAATAATGTGATACCGGAGAAAAGTTTATCTGATTAGCTGAAGCCCGCCTACAGATAGTTAAGAAATCCGGAGAAATCTTAGCCTGTTAGCACTGGGTAAACCTTCCACCGAAGATATTATATTAGGGTTGTCAGATTAGGGGGTTAGGGTTTTGAACCCTATAAAGTGTACCATGTAAACACCCCCTACAGCTGAGTTGTTAATTGGAGTGTATAAAGTTTCCCAGAGGTTGGAAAGGAGGCCTAAGATAAGCAATAATTATAATATATAATCCTCCTGACTATAACAGGAGGCGCCGGCACCCGGAAGGCGAGAGGCTCTGGAAAGAATAAAGTCTTTAAGCGTTACATCCCCACGTGACTTACCTGAAGATACTTCTTTATCCAGATGAGCTTCATCCAACAAGGAAAAACCCAGTACTAGTATATTCAGTAGGATTATAGAGGTCGATCCTTCTTGTAATAAATATATTCTTCTACTAGTGATTTGCCCGGGAGAAGATACTAGAAAGTGATCAGGTAGATGTTCTCTTTAAGAGGCCGGATGCATTCCTATAAGTAAGTGGGATAATACCTAGACCACCATCTATCCTACTAGTATCCGTTTGCTCACGTTCGGTATTTAATATAAAAAAGTATAATACTGTCTTGTTCTATATCGATAGTAAGTTACTAAGATTTGTGTATTAACAGAGACTTCGAATCAGCGGTTATTAAAGATTATTAGGTAGTTCTTTTTTCTAAGTCTAGAACCTTCTGACTGATTAAATAATCTTATTAATATTTATATACTCCTATACTAGATTATACTGTCCGGATAATATAAGTAGTATATCCTGTTCTTTTTCCTTTTTTAAGGTAAGAAACAGGGGCTGTTGTTTATATGATACTTGGTAGAACTAGTTATCCAGTACTTTACCCGGATATCTTCTCTGGTGAAGATTACTATAGAACTGTCTGCGAGTATCTGTAAAATACTTAACTTTGGAACTGACTATAACAAATTGTATGAGCTTAGTCTTGATAAAGGCCTTCTTCACATATAAAGGGTAAGCTGACGACCATAGGATGTACAAGTGCTTATTTATTGGTTTCTTGAAGAGACGAGTCACCAGTCTGGTGCCCGTCAGGTCCCTTATTCGCATGATCTCAATATCAAGGAATTCGATCTTCGTTCTTGAATAAGCCCAGTTGACGGTCAGTGGACCTAGCTGATACTCAGCGATGAAGTCCGTCAACTCTTTTTCCGTTCCCCTGAAGATCATGAGTACATCATCGATGTATCTCATGTATTTGACTACCCCTTTCTTGAAGGGAATCTTCAGGTGTCGCTCGAAATACCCAGCATAGATGTTGGCCAGAACGGGTGCAGATGCCGTACCCATGGCCAAACCTTTGGTCTGTTGGTAAATCTGGTCTTGGGTTACATTAGGGTTTACATTTAGGGTTTACATTAGGGTTACATTAGGGTTTACATTAGGGTTTACATTAGGGTTTACATTAGGGTTTACATTAGGGTTTACATTAGGGTT